GAAAGATATCCATGTCAACACTGAGCATCCTATAAATGGATGGTGCTATTTCTCATCAATGCTGAAACAGATTTCCCAGAGTTATACACATTTTTAAATCAACTGGAAGATTCGTTTTTGTCGTCCAGACAAAATAAGACATCACACTTAAAAATAAAATAAAGAATATAAAATTGGGCAGCACACCCAATGTTTTTGCTGGCAGACATAATTTGTTTTGCTGGAAGGAGAGATGTCGAAGCCTTGGCGAGGACAGCACAAATATATTCAGTCAATAGAGTAGAAATTCGTAGCAAGTTCTCTTTGATTTTGGTCACACCTTTCTTCCAGTACTCTAACAAAAAATGCATAGCTAGTAAGTGGTGCAAGATAAAACAATATTTGAATCAAATAGCAAACAACTTTTGAAAAGTACAGTTCTTATTCATAATTCTATGCTTGCACAACAGTGCAATCTTTGTCCGAGAGAATCAGCTTTCCATTTGACTAGTGTGTCTACTCAGAACACTTCATGTTTTAAGTATGAAACTGATTTTGTTGGGATGAAAGGGGTAGTGGTGGTGGTCAAATTTCTTGGCAAAATTAGACAGCTGCCAAGACCAGTGTTTTTTTTAGAAGTGCTGCTGAATGGCCCTTTTTAGAAAGATCTTTACCACAGTTAAAGTGTCACTTTTGACTCTGTACTGTCCACCTATGTACCAGCTTTTCCAAGAGGCGTGAGCCTTCCAAATAGTGATTCTAAACCTTGGTGAAAAAAATAAAATCAGTAACTAGTCAAGGTACTTGCATCTTGAGCAACAATTAATATAAGTTCCACAGAAATCATGGCACTTCTGCTGTGGTGGGGCAGAAGGCAAAATCCCCCAGTGAGGACTAATGTGACCATGTCTGAATGCGGGTCGGGTGTGAGCAGGGAGAAAGTGGAGCCCCACTGGGCCAGGGTGTGTGGGGGTGTATGTGGGGGTGTGTGTGGGTGTGGGTGTGGGTGGGTGTGTGTACTCTCCCCTTGGACAGAGGGCGCTTCCCTTGGGTGGAGACACCGCGCGAGGGAACTCCTGGAGGTTGAGAGCCGTCGAGGGACCGGCATCCCGGCTACCCCGCTGAAACCTTCGGGATTCTGAAGCGAGTCGGGCCGTACCGATTGCCTTGGAGCCAAACCCAGTTCAGTAAGGAGCAAGAGGCCGAAATGCGCCGCGGCTCCGGCCCCGCCGCCGGAGGTGCCGCACGCGCCGCGGCCGCTGGGCGGCGCCCTCGGGACGGAGAAGCGCGCGGGGCCGGGGCCGCCTTGGACGGGAGCGGCGGGCGCTGCTCCCGGGCAGGAGCACAGGGATCTGCTCGGCTCCGGGGCAGGAGCGGCGGGATCTGCTCGGCTCCCGGCCTCCTACCCGCCATCCCGGCGTTCGCACACCCTGGGGAGTCTGAGAGGCTGCCGCCACGCCGATGAGATGGGGGTGCGGGCGCGCCACCGCTAGTCCTGCCGGCCCCGCTGGCTCTAATGGAAGGCAGGACTGCCGCGGGCTGGGCAGTGCCCGGCGGGGTGTGAGGATCATCGTCCCCATCCTCTTCCCTCCCGTAACACCCTCAGAGTCTGCCCGTCCCGCAGAGGCCATCCGGGGAAGGGCCTGTCCCGCGGGCTCCATCAGCTGGCAGTCCCGATTTCCGTGGCGATGTCGCAGCCCCTCCGGGGCCCCTCGCCTCCGTGCCCCCGACAGTGCGGGCGGGCTGGCACCGGGCACCGCTGGTACCCCAGACCCGGGGTAGCCGCTGGCACCCAGCGGGTGTGCTGGGCCAGCGCCGGGGAAACACCTGCAGGGAGCTGCCAGGGGGATGCGCCTGGCTGCGGCCAGTGATGCTGCCGGGGCGCCCGGGTGCCCAGGACGATGGAGGTGAGATGTGCGGTGGTGCAGAATCGCTTTCCCTTCCGTGGCTGCCGTCATGCAGGGCTCCTGCCCAAGCACATCCGAAAGGCAAAGTGGGGCTGCGCTCCCCCGGGCCAGCAGGGACAGGTGCCAGGCACTCTGGAGTAGTGGCAGCAGTTCGGGGCATTGCTGGTTTCATAGGTGGGCTTCGGGGAACATGAGACCTCTGAAGGGATAATTTCAATTGGAATTCCATGGTAATCGGAGGCTGAGGGTGAATCTGGCATGGAGGATAATTTCGTTTAATGGTAGGGATGGGTTCACGTGGCTGGAAGACTCCTGTCTAGGAAGTGGCCCTGGGTGCTGAGATAAGGAGCAGTCTCAGCACTGTCTTGTAGCCAAGGGGGAGCACTCTAGGCCCTGGGCTCTGGGGCCACCATTGGGCAGCAGCTGGTCAGTGGGATGGACCAAGGGCTGAGCTGAGGTGCTGTGTGCCCCAACCTCCCCTTTTCTCCCTTGGCCCAGCATCTCCTTCCCTCCCTTTGATCTGCACAGGCCTCAGCTGCATCCTCCCCTGTCTTTGCGTGACCCAGGCTATCTTCTCCAGGACAACCAAACCGAAACTTCTGTCCCTTCCTGACCCTCCTTCCCTATCCCTTTGCTAAACCTCCCCTTCCTGTCCTTTGCTAACCTTCCCTAATATCTGATCTACAAGTGAGGTCTCAGCAGAGCTGAGTAGAAGAGGAAAACCCCCCCCCCCCCCCCCCCCACCATTGACCTTCTCACCAGGCTGCTGGGGACACAGCCCTGAACATAGTTGGCATTGATCTATAATGAGGATGATTCTAGATTGTAGGTAGAGATTTTTATTTTTCCTGGCCTTTTGCAAAAGTGACACTTCTTTGACTGACATTTGAGAGCCTCTGGTAGGCCTTAAGGACATCTGCAGAAGCAGCAAGGAGGAGTTCTCATCACTGTTTTATTCTGTTGCCCAATTAATCTGGATGTCCTCTTCCACTTTAGTAATTTCAGGATTCTGAGGCATGCTCTAATGCAATCTAGTTTGAATATTTAAAGGTCCTGTGGATCTCCTCTCTTTAAGGAAAAGGCAGAGGAAAGTCCATCTTAGAGCATCATTGCAGTGTAGCTTGGTTCAAGCTAAAGTGGGTATGTGCACAGTATCAACATCTCAGCTGATATAAATAGGCTTGGCCTGTTCAGTCATTAGGATGATACCAGTCTGTACAAGAAGTATGTGATAATTCAGTTCTGTGGCATGGGAAAGATTTGACATTCCTCAAGCTCCCAATGTGCTTTCAGCAACAAAGGACATTCCTTTATTAACTTCCGTTGTGTTTAAGTATGTTGAGTGTTTTAATACTCAGCTTTGCTGTTCGAGTGTGTGCCTAGAAGAGAGTATGGCTACCAGAAGGAACCATTTAGCTGAAAAAAGTAAGTATTCTGTGAAAAGTGGAACCAGTTTTCCTTACCTGATAGGAATTTCAAATATATGGGATGTCCTTTCATTTCCAAACTGGAAAAAAAACATGGTTGAAAACTGAAATTTAATGTGAGTAAAGCTCACATGGCATGTTTGTTTCAGATTTACAGTTTAGACTGTATTTTCTGTGATGTAAACATATTTTTAAGCAATATTTGCAAACAATACTTCAACATATTATAAAGGATTTTCCTTTTTTTTTCTTCCAAGCAAGATTTAGACATTGTTAAGGAGTTGTCCCAAAACATTCTGGCTTAAAAAGCCCTGGTATTTCCAAATGGGTGAAATGCTCGATTAGTTTTGTTACTGAGTGTAATTACTTACATTTTTATTCTTAGAATATGCATTTCACTAATTTTGAACTCCTATGTATGTTATTCAGAGGATATTTTCTGCATTAGCTGTTTTAGTGGGTATTTTTATCTAGATGTCATAGACGGGAAGTAAATGTAAAAGGTACTTCAGATGTAAAATAAACATTCATTTAATTCCTATGGTAGGAACACATTTATATTTCATAGTTTCTAAATTGAGAATACTGTAATATCTAGATCTGGATGGCTGCTTTCGAGGGGAAATGATAAACAACATTGTCCCTTGAAGTTAGATAGCAATATTGAGAACAGTCCATTCAGCAACAAATCAAAAGATTTATATTAAAAAAGAAAGTCATATTAATCTTGCCTCTGTTGCACGAATGTATGAAACTTATTTGAAATAGAAGGTAGAAACAGTAACCTGCAAAAAACGGTGATTACACTTCAGCCTAGAGAAGAGATGATAACACAGAGATAGAAAAGAAGCTGTCTGTAACTTGGAACTATTTTTTTCTTCTGCATTGAAACAGAAAACTCAGTATCTGCAGTAACTAACTGAAAGGATGGTCTTGTCTGATGTTATGTGTGTATGCTGCTTCATAGAATACATGGGAAGAGATGCAGTGCAGTATGCAAGAAGTCTTTGTCAGATATAGAGTGCTTTTGATCTTGGTTTTTTATCTTGTGTGAATTTTTGTGTAGTGGGCCCTTCATATATATGGTATGGAATGGTGTGTTTTACTGATAGTGCAGGCAGAGTAAATATCCAAAGCAGTGTGCTAAATGATGTGGATGTGTGGATATACATCTATTTGTGAGATTTCTGCTTTTATTTAGGTATTCCTGAGTGCAGAAGATCAAATAAAAAATTGTAACTGGTAGCTAGATTTATTTGAACTCAGTCTTTCATAGTAGCAGATACAGTTAGCGGGTTTATGATTGCTTTCCTTAGACACTCCCAAATTCAGGTAAGGTAAAATATTTTCATGGTCTCTGTTGACCAGGACTTGGGAGCTTTAGGCTAAACTTTGTAAATGCTGCAACCAGGCAATTGGCTTTATGGGCATGATGCAATCTTTTATTTTCCATTTTTAAAACAGATGAAACCACTGAGAGCAATGGCTGATCAGCCATGAGTGAGTCTGCCACGCATCCCCAAATGGATCAGATGACCTCTTGAGGTCTTTGGCAGTCTTATTTTCTGATTATTTTTTCCCTGAGTTTTTCCATTTAAATTTCAGTGCATCTGATTGGTCGTATCAATGGGTGTGTCTTATCCTCTATATACTCAATTTCAATACAGTGACATCTAGTGCCAGCAAGGGGCTCCCAGCATTATTACAGTACAAATAATAAAATAATACAGCCTTGGTGTGAGCTGATTGTTACTGCTCAAAAGCAATACAGCAGATATTTTTTATCTCACAGGAAAAAGTTTTCACTGAGACAAAGAGAGAATTATCACTTCATGAATAAACAACTGTATAGATTTTTCAGATAAATAAAGCAGAGATTGCAAAGGGCTTTCCAGGCATAGTATAATTTCTGTTGTTAAGTTGCTCTAAAGGACACTAGGTTCCTTGCCATTTTACCTCAAGAATATATTTCTCTGTCTTTGGGGAAATTTGTTGTCCACCTTGGTGAAGTATGGTTGGGTTTTAGAGCTGTTATGAATCTTGTACAGGAAACATGGGAACAGTTCTGATATATGACAGATGTAGTGCAACTACTATGATGAAAACCATTCAAGGAACTCATATTTTTTCTTTCTCCTCTTCTGTGTTCAGAGAACCCTTCACTGTGTATCATCAGTCTGGAATTACAGAAATGGATGTCAGAAAACTCAGAAAACATCACTGGTTCCAGCTCATCCCTCATGTAACTCCATGGATTTGGATGAGATTATACCAGGAGTAAGCTAAGCCCAGTGATCTTCACTGAGCCTGCTTGACTTCATGGGATTCAGCATGAGGATTTGTAATGCTAAACTGTCAGCGGAGGCCAAAGAATTTTGTAAGTGGAGTGGAGGAGTTAGGAAATGGGGAGAGGGAAGAGGATGAAAAAATAAAGAGGGAAGAGAAAGCTGATTTCGGATGACTGTCAGTTCTGCCTATATCCTGCCCTTTGTATTTCCTCTGCTTTTATTTGGTTTTCTTTTTGCCATTCTTTTATTCATTTTATTTTCATGGTTTGGTTATTTTAGCCAGCCTTTTCTCGGTGGTGCTTGTTCAGTATTTTAGCACTGTCATTTGAGCAGCTTCTAACAGCTACATGTATTAATCAAGTGACAGGGACCCCCTGGGGGAAGCGATTCAGCCTTTTAGCAGGACTTGGGAAATCTCTTTTACTCTGATTCCGTGGAGCTCTGCATATGCTTAGTAGCAAAAAGGAGCTGTGAAAAAGGGAACTTCGGTAGGTCTAACGCAGGGCAGGTAGAGACCTTTGGCTGTGGATCTACTTGGAAAGAATAAACTCTCTCCATTAAAGGAGAAAAGCTGGAATGGCTGCAGAATTTACTGATGTTTGTGAATATTGTGCTGTTGTGGTTGTTATTTCCCTATTAAGTGTATTACTTAACTTACGTCTGCAGTGCCCAGACATAACTGTCATGGACTATGGCTTGTACTTGGTACGCACAATGGTCTTAAAGCTGAGCTCCTATTTTGGGAAAAGCTCTCCTGGATGAAGATTATGTTTTTGAAGTGAACAAGAGGGGAAAAAATAGTAGGTTTGCAGTACTTCTCTGAGTTTCTTTTATCATCAGGTCTTGGTGACATTTTCAGGAGACAATAGGAAAAGTCAAATTAGAAAGCAATTTGAGATTTCCACTCTGCACAGATAGGGGATTTAAGCTCTTGTTTGACTCAGAGTTATGATCTTGAAAGTATTTTTCAGGAAATACCTTTCTTAAAGATTGCTTTACTACTTGAAATCAGAATTTACAAGACAAATCTTTTACAAGATGAGCATTCTTTCATTTTCAGCAGGAACTTTTGAGAACACAGGAAAAAAAGTGAAGGCTTTTTTGTGTTGTGTTTTGCTTTCTGTAACTTTAGAGAGATTGTGGAGGCAGTGAAAGCTGTGCTCTCGGTAAGAATAAGAGGCAAGCAGAGTGTACTGTGAAAGACTCTCATTCTGTTTTGAAGTCCAGAGGCTAAAGACATTTGAGGAAATAATATTTAACACTATGCAAGGAGATTTGACATGCAGTTCCCACTGCAGCAAAGTCTCCATGTAGTGTTTGAGAGCCTGTTTCCTCCAGGAGGAGGCAGTTTCTGTAACAAAACAAAGGCAGTTTTTCTCCTAACAAAACAAATGATTATGTTGGTGAGTGTAGATAGGAAATGGTGAATATGTCATTTTTGGCAGTACAGGCATTACCTAAGTTTTTTTTCTATAAGAAGGTTCAGCGATGCTAAAAGTAAAATAAAAAATCTTACTAGTATTGCTGTATTGATTGAAGACACAAAGTATTCTGGTTTAGCTGATGCTTGGATTCATCATATGTTTAGTCTTTATTCTCTCTGGCTATATATATTTGTAAATGCGTTTTTGTTAAAATTAAAAAGAAGTTATTGATCTGTCAAGCTACTTCTAAGAACTCATCCTCTGTCAAGAGCTGTGCTGTACAGCATGTAGCCCAAAGTAGCCAATTTACAAAAGACAGACAATTTAGAAGCAAAGTTGTCATGACAACTTTAGCTCCATATCCACCTTTTCTATGCACACATTATGAATGAAGGCGTGAAGGGGTTCTCAAGGGAACTTAAACTGAGCATCCTAATTTCTGGGATTCACACTTTAGTAAGCACTGGTTTTGTCAGGTTTTAATTACCACTTTGTATTCAGAATTCTAGTCCTGTATTTAGACTTTTAGATTATTTTGGGATCTTATAGATGAAGGGCATACATAATATGCAAGAAAAAAAAAAGAAAATACTCCTAAGACTTCTGCTGAAATTTGCATAGAATTCCACATATAGCATTGTGCTAAACCTCACTTTCAGCAATACTTCCTGTGAAGAGAGGGATCTTGGATACCTTTATTCTAGATATGTGTCTGTGGTTTCGATTTCATGGCAGTTTTATCTTGGGATAGCACCACAGAGCTAAATGACGCTGTTTCTAATGCACAGCAATGTAAGCGAAACAAATCCAGATAAGCCTGTTCTTTAAGAGACGTAACAGACTTTCCTTCCTTTTTTCTTGTGTAAACAAAGTGAAATAGGCGCAAAGATCTTTTACCTATTCCAGTCAGTCACTGGAGTACTAATGGCTACCTCGAGTCCAACAAGGAGCTATCTTCCTTGGATCTCACACTAATTCTTCCACTAATTCTTCTTCCACTAATGTGGAAGAAGTGATGTTGGATGTCTGACTTGTTTTGTCAGCACAGAAACCACTCCCTAATATTTTAGAATAATATCTTCAGTGAGAAGGCATTGGATAGATGGCTGTTTCTTTACTGTGCTAGCATCAGTAAAGCATGTTCACCAACATGGTTTTGGAGAAAGCTTGTGCTGCTTGTCACCCCCAGGGACCTGCAAGCCCACCTTCTCTCCATGCATTCAGCTGACTTTCCCAGTCTGTCCCTGACTGTGCACTTTCAGCAGAGACTTCCTGTCAGGCTGCAGCACTGCTGCAAGTACACAGGAAATTTGGTATAATGTCCAAATACACATTGTTACATGCTGGAAGCAGATTGATGAACTGTTTCATTTCAGTCCACTGTTCAAGGCTCCAGTGTGTAGGAGAGAAATTGCTATGGTCTGCACTGATTCATCTGGACCTGAGCTTTGAACTTCGGGCCAGATGTTGGTACTAGCTGATGTAAGTGATATGGAGCAAAAGCTGCTATAATGCAAGAGTCTAAGCATGAATTGCAGATTGAAGACATACCAATGAATGGTCTCAGCAATAACTTTTGACTACAGATTCATGGGGTCCATCTGTGCTAGAAAGTGATCAACTGCTGACCGCTGTTTTTAACAAGACTGCAACCACATCAGAAAACTCTCCAGAGCAGGATTAAAATTCAGGCACTAGGAAGAAGCTTTCCCTGCTGTTGCCCTGAATCAACTTTTCTGTGGATAAAGGCCTTCACTGCTGTGGTGCCTTGCAAAGGCACCTATTTTGCAAAAGAAAGATACTCAGGGTAAAGCAGATGAGAGCTTGCACAAAGGAGAAAGAATCACCAAACAGAAGCAGGGCTGTATTCTGAAATGAGCCCTTGGGGGAAACTGGTCAGAACCAGACTCCTGGGCATATCTGAAAAGCTGCTGCCTCTCTCTGAGGGATGAATGTTTGGGACAATCTGTGGAGTAAAGAGCTGTGTCAGGAGGAGATGAAGAAGCACAAGCTGGGGAATATAGGGGCAGCAGTTGTCAGCTGAGTAGATGATTCTGATAAACTGAGTCTTATAAACACTTTGAGCATAATTCTGTACCTGCTTCTGGTCTGTGAATGTTCCATCCCTGTGGCAAATCTCTTCCATACATCCTGTGCAGTTCCTAATGACCCAATTCACAGTGCAGGTAGCACACCTGTATTAAGAAAGGTCCATGCAGTGTTGCTGGCTGTGTGTTATTGTTGGGAGATGTGTAAATGAATTTTAAGGGGTTACAAAGTTATTCATAGTCTGATAACTAAAGGAGATGAGAAAGACCTATTACTATGAATTTTACTTTCTTAAGCACAGAAGGTTTCACACCACCTTGAGGAAAACATTTGAATTATATTTAAAATAATTAAACAACTTGTCCAAGTATGGGGAGGAGTGGGAGCAAAGCCAAGAAAGCTTCACTGGCTAATTTTGAAGCATATGGCACAATTAATAATGGACTGAAACTGCAAAATTAGAGCTGGATATTAGGAGTTTTGGATAGTGTGCATTGATTCAAAATGAACCGCACTTGAACACCACAGTGAGAGGTACATAGAAGGATGTAATAATGCATACATTCTGGAGATAGAAAAATGAAGAAGTCTGCTGATGCATAGGGGAAATAAGTGAAATTCAGCTATTACTTTTATTGGCTATGAACACTTCATTAGAAAAACTTCATTACCTAGTAGGAGCTGACATGGAGACCCCTTATATTCTTAGTGGCTGTGAGCATTTTCCATATGGCTGGGACATGTAATGTTGAAGCAACAGATTTGTTTGGACTCTTGACTCAAGAACTATGACCTCCAGGTCATAAATTTTATGATTTCATAGCTTACTTAAAAATCCCCATTCCTCTCTTCCCCCAAAAAATTTTACTAGGAGTTCAAGTTCAATTTGCCCTCTTTGAAAAACAGAATCTTGAATGATCAGTTTTTCTTGGCATGCATGATTTGTGTCGCTCATATTGGGATCCTGGACAGAACACATGCAAAAGGACTCTGTTCCCTTGGTCTTTATGGACCATCCTTTCAAGATCAGCATTTTTGATGTGTGCACACTCATTTTTGGTATCACTTAGCATCTTTTTTGACATCATTCTGCAAATTGTTACCTGAGTGTTCTTGCTAACTTCGAGGGAAGCAGTTTCATCAGTATGACTATATATGCTTGAATAAAAATTTGGGGGAGGGGAGCTTTCCTTTGTACTACTTTATAAATACCACTGCAAAGGTTAAAGCTCTTGCTTTAACCAAAGAATGAAATGTAAGTTAATATATGACATTAAAAGATCACAAAATTGAGTGGCTGCGTGGGAAAATGCCTTGTTTGAGTTTGATATGTATTATGCCCTAATTCTCCCTCTCTTGTAGTGTCTTGTAAGGTTTATGGCCAGAGAAAGCATGGGAATTTGAGCTAATCTGGTCCCATTATACAGGATTCATAAGCTTGTACAGAGAATCTGAAGTCAAGTCAGAAGGGCAACTGCTGGCTGTTCTGTCTAGTCTGCTTTGATAGCATCTTTTGCAGATAAGCAACTACTGGTGTCATGTACCATTTTTATTTTCTGTGTGGTTAGGCATGCCTGTACCAAGAAGAAGAATTCTATATAGCCTTTTAAAAGCAG